GCCCCGATGGACCACGAAGGCTGAGCTCAGCACTGAGAACCTGTACCCAGCCACATGGAGCTCGCAGGTCTGGAGGGAGACGGAAAGACAGGGTGAGAGGCGGACGTGGAAGTGGGGATCGGTACATGAGAATGATAGACGAGACGAGAGACTGAGGGTAGAAGAGGTGAGGAGAAAGGTGACAGCGAGAAGGGCAGAGGGGGAAATGAGGAGGAAGAGACTGAATATGGCATGAGGAAGATGAGGCAGAGGAAAGGAGATGCAATGAAAAAGGTAAAGGAGTGGTATGGACAGCATTTACTCTGGGATGAGGTGTCAGAACGAGGCAGTGAGGGGAGAGGAGATGGACCAGGGTGAAGAGATGCTGCCACAGAAAGAACTGAGCAATGAAGAAGTGGATAAAGAAGAAAGAAATAAAGGGGAGAAGAAACTACAGCTGAAATAATGGATCCATTAGTCAACACAAAATAAACTAACAACAATTTTGATTTTAGCAGAGGCCGAGATATCGTGACTTTTACTCCTTAGGATGGATCAAACTGCAAAACCCCTGGATCTTAGGCTTCCCATTAGTCTGGGTCTTTCAGACTCAACACCCCTATTTTGTAACACAGGCTTTCTGTCAATATATTCGTAGTCTCACGGCCAATATCAGTTAACCCTGATGATATAATTGAGTACTGAGTAGTACTCCTTGTGCCAGGAAAATGACCTTCATGGGTAAAATTAGCATTTTGTCCCCTTAATCCGATCTATTATTAGGCAAAGGTACAAAAAACTCACTGGTTATAGCTTCTTAAGTGTAAATGTCTTTTGGTTTTCTTGGTCTTTAATGATAATAAACTGAATATGTTTGAATTTTGGACTGCTGTTTGGACAAAACAAGGAATTTAAGTAAGTCAACTTTGGCTGGGATAAATTATACTGGACAATTTTTCACTCAATAATGATAGTCACCATTTTCTTTTTACTTGACGGAACAAAAAAACTATCTGATTATGCGTGTAAAACGTGTAAATCAATGAATCAAGTTAATTAATTGCAGCCCAAGACAAAGACGAAAAGGTATGTGTGTGAAGGAGAGGTATGCTGAGAAGTTAATAGTGAATCATCTTTCTGTCAAACCACTGCAAATAAATCCTGCAGTGAATGACATCAGGACACTGCTGTCACATGCCAAGAACAAAATGTGCTCAGATTTACTACTCTCAGTCAAATAAAGGGACTGAATGAACACAGCTCATAAAATTCAATATTTTTCTAATTTTCAACTTGACTTACTGCCAAAAAATATTCCAAGACGGACAAACGCGTTGTTTGCTTGGTCTTTTCATGGGATTTGATGACAATAACAAAAAAATGTGGAATAACATCAGCCCTGTCATGTTCAAAGGACACCATTTGATCTCAACCTTGTATCAAACTACTACCGCTAATTTTAGAAAGTTTTCAGATGGACAGCTGTTCAGGACAAGGTTGCGATGGAGCTCAGTGACTTGTTGGTATTTCATGTTTCGACTGACCCTGGGGAAAGGCGATAAGGTGTGTTTTAGGATAAAATATTGTCTGTAATGTGTCGTCTCTGCAAGTAGATGTGATCTGTTTTAATAGACTTTGTGCAGACAGTGCACAGGCCTTCAGCTCGCCTTGTCTCTCCTATGCCACCTGCCTACCTGGTGTGCATCAGACTGCGTGCACGGTCCACTTGCTAACTTTCTCCAGAGCTTTCAAGTGAATCTCAGTCTTCATCAGTTAGTAGATGAACAAAAAGTTTGTTTAACGCAGTGTTTCACATGTATTATGTTCAAATTTTACAAACCTGGCTGATTCGATTGAAGCCGTATTGCTTGAAACTCTCGTCATAGAGCGGCACAGTGCGGGGCCCGATGTAGAAAGGCTCCCAGGGGTCCACCCAGGTGAGCGTGTAGGCCACTTCCAGGGTGCCCGTCTCTCTAACGTGGCTGTTAACCCACTGCGAGTAGTTGGTGGGGGCTTGACAGCGAGGACACAGCTCTTCATAAAACGGCCGGACCTCGCCCACCTGGTAGAGCTGAACCAACTCTGCCTTGGTGGCTGGCATCTTCCGCGCATGGCGGATCTCGAAGGCAGGTAAGACAAATACCTCATCACTTGCTGCCTCGCGCTTCATGATCATGGACAGGAACTGCTGGTGCAGGTCGGCGCTCGGCATCATGTCGATATCAATGACCAGGATGTAGGTGGACTCTGTGCCACCTCGGGCTACATTGCGGAGAAGGTTGTTGGGATAGGAGATGTTTCCACTGATGGCATAGTTCTTGTATTTATCCCTGTGGGTCTCCAATCTGGAGAACACAGAGGGACAGTCTTCAAGCCCTGCAAAATGCTCACGGTCCTGTTCAGGGAAGCTGGCCATCTCTCCTGAGAGGCAGACCAAGTGGAAGTCCACCAGGGACTGGATCTGAGGGCAGAAGAAGCTGAGTGCATACACCAGAGCTGTGGCAAACTTGACATCTTGCCCATGTGCGAATATGGCCAGAGAGAGAGGGTTATGCCATCTTTCCAGAAGAGACTCCAGTTGATGCAGGTTGTTGATGGTTGTGTGTGAAGCTAAAGCCAGGACATTGGAGCTTGGTTCGGATCCTGGTTTGTGATTTGTGGTGAAATCACTTTTGATCAAGTTCTTGTACACCCGGTACTGACCGCTGTTGTCAAAGATCCCACCAGTGGACAGCGAATACCTCAGACGCTCCTTCCGCGAGTTTTTCTCGGGGTGACCATTCTTCTTGGCCCCAGAGCCCCCAAAGAGCTCAGAGTACCTGTACCGCTGCTGCTTACCGTGAAACTTGGACAAGAAGGACAGGTATATGAGCTGCAGGAGCGCCACGATCAGCAGAGCACTGAGCACTACTTTGAAGGCGGAACATTTCTTGGAGAGATGCATTCCAGAGAAACTGCAAACTAGCAGATTACTGTACACAAAGCAGGTTCAAACACCCGACCAGACTGCCGTTTCCTTTGGGGCTGGCTATTTTTGTCCAAGCGTCCCAGCTAACATTACCTACATAGCTACCACGATGCTAACACTGCTGCCTATTCGGCTGGAAATACAACGGATACTTGATTGCATATTTTACTTGTTGGTAGCAACGCTGCCCCAGATTCACATGAGACTCTTGGCAGCACGAATAAAACGACGAAACTAAGCCAGTGTATGTGATCTCCATCAAAATGTAACACTGCTGCTGCTGCGACAGCGGCGCACGTCGATACGTACTAACCGTAATGTCAGGAGTTAAGGCGCCCACCGAATTAGGTCCTGGAACACCGCTAGCTCTTAGCTGCTAGCTGAACCGGTGCTAACGGTCACGGATGAAATTAAACGGCTGTTTTCACTCCTTCGCCAGTTAACGCGAGAGTGCGGCTGCTGAGGGTAAACAAATGGTCCTGAACAAAAGAATATAGACACATATACATATGCACAACGATAAGAAGGTATATGCTAGACGTAGGGAGTCCATATGACGAGGTGGCCGAGTGGTTAAGGCGATGGACTGCTAATCCATTGTGCTCTGCACGCGTGGGTTCGAATCCCATCCTCGTCGAAAGTTTTTTTTTTCGTAGATCACGTGTTTAGCCACTGGCGTCAAATACCGATGCTCTTGTAAGTAACCTTGGTAAACGTCGGTATTTGACAACGTAGCCTAGCTTCAGACCCAGACAAAGTACAATGTAGGCTAAGTTAATCCATCCGCCGTCTGACACCAAAAACAAGTTCAGATATTTTAAAGTTTTTTTTACACAAACTAAAATTTAAAAAAGTACTTCTTTCAACTCAAACCATGATCTTTTTCCAAACTTAACCAAGTACTTTTGGTACCTAAACCTAACCAAACTGCGGCATTAGGCCTACACAACGTTAACCACATCTTATAAAGGCAGATGCTGAAGGGTACCTTTTGTGTCAAATAGTTTGAACTGGGCATTACCTATGCTGATTAATTATAAATAGCGAAAGTAAATTAGACAGTGCTGGAAGTGGGGCGGTACTCTCTGGGGTACTGTGACTTGTTTGCGCACTGACAAGAGACCTATCTCTCTAGTCTGTCTTGCTAACCTAGCTTGGCAGTGGGTCTCTTGGTCGGTCTGTGTCTGCCGGCCACTTCCAGCTCTGTGTTCTGGGACTTTCTGTCTGACAAAAGTGAGAGTGAACACAGCGTGAGTTTAATTTTGTAATAAAACTCAGGTTTCCAGCTGCAACCTCTTTGGGTATTAGACCGGACAGATTTTCAGTCTCATTTTAAAACAAGATTAGGCTATGTAGTCTCCCAGCCAAGGTACCAACTCTGGACTAATGCAAGACGGAAATCAAAGGACTGACTATTAACGAATAGGCTAAATATTGACAGCGCACATCATTTCCTCAGTTTAGACTGTGCTAACAAATCAATTTAACCACTCTGAGCTTAAGCATGTGCTACAGATCAGAGAGAATACAACAAGCTTTATTGTGTTTCCAATGACGGGGCTTTATTATTACGTTGTGGTGGCAGCACAGACTTCTTGTCGCTCACTGGTCGAGTCATAACACCACTGAACGCAAAGTGACCTCACATCAGCATTATGAATACAAACAGCAGCCTCTCTGTGTGAGGCATACCTGTGAAAACAATGTTCGGGTCATGAATAAAATGCTTCACAGAGGGGAGGGTGAACAAAGCTGGCACATTCATTTTGATCTACAGTGACATGTTTACAGGATAATCTCTTTGTTTATTATCATAACACGTTGTCAAAATGTTTTACCAGGACATTATGAAAGCTTTCACTTTTACATTGTTTGTCAAATAGCTTACAAAATGCAAAATCTCAAGAACTTAAAAATATACCGATCTACTTTGTACCCATTTTTGAACCCAGCACTTTGGCAATTATATCTTAATGTGGGCAAAAATGCTTTCTGTAATCTGAGACAGTAAAATATTTACTCGCTCATGTGTAAATGAGACTAAAACAAGCACTCAGGATTTTAATTACATTTTTTAATTTGTGCCACAGAATTTCAGAAACTAAAAGTCAGCTCCGCTTAAAGGCAAATGTATGACAAACATCCTTAACTTTATTTATTTATTTATTTTTTTTACACACATGCATTCACGAACATAAGCAAAGTACTTCAATACCAAGTGCATTATGTTTAGCACACATGTCACCAATCTCCAAAACCAAACTCATACGGTGAAAAGTGAAAACCTACATTTTGTGACTCCAACTACGTTTTCAGTACTGCAGAAATCACAAGGCCCTGCTGTCACCCTCTATTACTACAAGCTAGGACACTAAAACGCCAGCTCCGCTTTTAGACCCGCCTCCTTCGCTGTCCCTGGAAGATGCTGCCGACTGGCCTTGTGCTTCTCCTTCGCCCTCTCCCACCAACCGGATGTTGTAACGTTCCCTGTACTCTGTGAGCTCCCGTCCTTTCGACTGCATCTGTGTGTTGATGGACTCTATTATTTTGGAGATCTGTGGGGAAAACAAGGGGAAGAGAGTGAGATTATTTCTCCTAAATTGAATTTTAGATTTAATTATGTTAAATGGAGGAGGTTTTTAACTTCAAATGGAGGTCATTGCTATCAGTTTTTATTGAATCACAAAACAATTTGCAATTAATTTTTCTATTGAGAAATGTATTTTGTTGAAGAAAATTGAATGAAAAAAGATTTTACTAAATTTTACTGTTTTTATTATTAAAAAGCTACTTGTATCCAGCCATTAGAGTAAAGTGTTTACCTTACAATACATTTAACAATTACAACACAAGTGCATTTATATTGTTCTGTTTCCAGGTTTGCTAATACTTTTCACTAGTGACGTTTAAAGATAATGTACTAGTGCGTTTGTTAATCCATCACCTGTTCTTTGTTGGTTTCCAAGGCTGGTAGAACTTCTTTTACCGTCCTCTCCACCAGCACTCCTCCTACTAGACGAAAGCATTTCCTTGACGGGTCCACGTCCTTCAGGGTGTCAATTACTAAGCTGGATGGTGAAAAAAAAATGGTGACGTTAAAAAAACAAAAATGAATCCATCTGCTGGTCAGTTTTCTAGTCTGGTAACTAACCTAACTGAACACGTAGGATCTCTCAAATTATTAAGCTGTATTTGTGACTAAAGACATGTTTTAATGACATTAACAAGATATAAAAGCTAATGTCACGTTTGTGGTCAGCAGAATTGTTGTTGGAAATGTCTTTCTTGATCAAATAAGAAAGGAATCAACAGTGAATCAAAAAGGCTGCAGAGGTAGGAACATCTGCTGCTAACCTGTGCTCATTGATCTCCATCTCCAACTCTGCAGCTTTAGAAGCCATACTGCGCTGCTCCTGACGCATCCTCTGAAATGTTGCCACCACCTGTCACAGAAAAAAAACAACCTGTCAGCAGCAATACAGGCAGGCAGACTTGTGTCATATATTTTAATATATACCGTTAACCTCTATCATGCACTTCCTGCGCTCTTCTTTTTCCGTCGCCTTACAATTCACTGGTATTAATTGCACTATTTGTTAACCCTTACTTCTTAGCAGGTATTTACCCCAATAAGGCTGTACATATTAATAGCTCTTACTATTAGTAGAACATACTTACTAGTATCTATTGTCACTTGTAGATCTCTAACTGTGTTGATGCTTTATGTATGTTGTTCCTCTAATGTAAGTCGCTTTGAATAAAAGTGTCTGCCAAATGAGTAAATGTAAATGCAATATTAATAACTTACGGAGTAAAATACACGTGACCGTTACAGCTTCACAACAAAAGCAGCAACTTTGATAATTGATTACTATTTGCAGCCTTTAAAATGTTAGGATTTACTACTTTTCTCTACTTCATGTCATCATAGATGTAATATTTTCAGATCACTGACTATTTCTCAGACAAATTTGTTTGTTTAAAAATATTTTCTGACATTTTAGAGACTAAAGATTAATGTATTACTCAATATAATAATCAAACAATAAACAATTGTTATCTGCCCTATTGTCAGTATATTTAGCTCTATAATAGTGCTGTATTTCTACAGAAGAAGTATTTTGAATGAAGTACTTTTTGATGACACAGTGGTAATCCTACTTAAAGAAAAGGATCTGAAGCCTTTGTGTACCTCAACGTTAGTAAAAAAAAAAAAAATAATTGGTTGGTTGGTCTAAAGTGATTAAAAACAGATTCTCTGGATAAGACCAAAAGCACCCTATCCCATCAATTTTAATGCACCCAAAACACCCTAAACTGTTTGTTACACGCACAAAGTTGTGACAAACTCAATGCAAATAGCATGTAACGTTATGGCTTTACTCTGGCTCTCCGGTGTTAGGTTCAGTGGAGAGAAAGCAGGATGATGGCGATGGGGAAGCTAACGTTAGCTTTAGCTAGCTGGGAGCCAGTCAGCGGCTTCAGCTTCACCTGATAAGACTCAACGACGACGACGACTGTACCGACTAAATCAACCTACGGCGGAGGTGAAGGTACCTGTTCAGCAGACGGGCCGGACTGTTTTCCACCGGCGCTGTTGCTGGATTTGCTGCCCGTGCTGCTACTGTTGGCTGCCATCTTGGAAGGGTGTTGCTGTGAAGGACCCCAAGCAGGATGTGTAGAGCTGGTTCACGCGAGTGCCTGCGTGGAAATGCAGTGCAGTTCCCCCTAAATGTTTGAAGACAGTTAATATGGTCTGACGCGTTTCTCTACTGTTAAGCTGTAGATCGCCAAATTGACAAATCTAAGGCGTGTTTTTTCCCCCTGTGATTTGCATTCAGTAAGTTACTTTGCAAGAGACTCGAGCAGGTTTATCAGCAACTCTGAAGACTGAATACTAGCCTAATAATATTCTGAATTTTGTACAAGCAGCATAAAATCTCCAGGGACTGGTACAGCATATTTTACTCAGAAATACAAATGAGCAGCAAGTGTTTTTGTCTATTTGGCAACATTTTATATCCATGAAAGTAAATCTTTATAACAGAAAACATATATTTACAATTTTTATAAGAAATAAATACAGTAGAGTGGATTCAAATTAATATATCAACTGTCCAAAAGAAATTTGTCAAACACATAGTTAGTCTTACTGCCTTCGTGTTCTTAATGTTTCTAATCGTGGTGCTATACTGATGCAGTTCTTGGAGAAAGTGTCCAAAGTGTGCTTTGGGGTCAGTCCATTTTTTCTTGTGGATGAGGAATTTTCCCAATAATAATACCAACTGTACAAAAAAATACATAATTTTCCTTGTTGTTTCTTTCAAAACATGTAATGTGTTTTTCCTGAAGTTGAAATGTTTGTCCAGTTTTCCATTTTATATAAAGAAATTTAAAAAATATACAACCAAAAAATTCTACAGTATATATCACAAATTGATTCTTCATCTAATTGACAGAAAGTGCAAGAATACTTATTCTAAATTTCTCAAACGTCTTTTTTTACCGGATATATACGATGTAATATAATGTTCGTCTTTGTTACTAGGCCTATAAATGTATATATTTCGTCACTAACAAAAGTCAACAATACAGGATCACAGACAAAGACAAATACTTTCTAAATCCAGCAGGTGGAGGTGTTGTGCTTCAACGCTGGTTTCCACCGTCTGATAACCAACAGAGAAGAAAAACGAAGCTCAGCTGATCCTTCCTTCTGTGCACTGAACCAACCAAGTGTGCCACAAACATGGAGTGAACAGCGAAGGGGACGTGCTGTTTGGGTCTCTTGGGCCAATGTTCAGAGTCAGGTGCATTTTGGGAACATTTGCAAAGTATCTGTTCTCTCCACCAGCCTGGAGAGAGCAGATCAAGCTGCAAAACAGGTATGTTTATTATTCTGACAAGGGAATAACGTTACATAGGTACCGAAACCTAACCTACGATAAAGCCTACATTTGTATTGTCCTGTTTAAATGATTTAAAATTTCGTAAAGCTGATTTAAATGTCCTCATATCCTAGTAAAATCACCAGGAGTGCAAAGCTGTACAATATTATACAGCAAATATACCAGGATAACTAGTTTAGTAAATGATCAACCATAGTTATCCTGGCATCTTTGCCTGGCATGCAGCTCCTGTGCACTTCATAACAACCTCTTCTGCATGCAGGATGTCCACTTCACCTCGCCCAGTGGCAGCAGTGTGCCAGGTGACAGCCACCCCCGACAAAGAGGCCAACTTCTCTGCCTGTAAACAGCTGGTGGAGGAAGCCAAGGAGCGAGGGGCCGGCATGGTCTTCCTGCCTGAGGGCTTTGACTACATCGGCTCCAGTCGAGAGGAGACTCTGTCGCTGTCTGAGAGCCTGACAGGAGACACAATCTCACTGTATGCTCAGCTGGCCAGGTAAACAAACAGTGTTTTAATTATGTTCCCGGGAAACACTTACATAGGTCCCACTTTAATTTGTTTTAGGTGATTTTGGTATTTTACTCTTGGCTCGTCCCAAGCAAAGAAAATGTTTTTTCTTGAGATAAAGAAGACGCAGATCCAAAAGTGTTTTGCTTCCTGCTTCTTCACCATTTCTTGAGGCAGAATGTACACCTTTGGCCTAATGACTTATTACCCAACGAGCAAATAAAAGACACAGACCTGGTGTGCCATAGTAGTGAAGTGGATTCATCAAAGTTTCTCATAACATATTGTTAGTATGTATTTGGTAGCTAAGCAAGATTGGTGGGTAAAACTCTGGATCTGTAAGCAGGCAGCCACTATTACAGGATGACTGTTGCTCTTAGTTTAATCTACTCACTATAGTCTCATGTGTTATGTGAGGAAGTTGTGAAAAATTGGCAATAATTAGGATTTCTACAGGTATTTTACCCTTTTATTCTTCCAGGAAGCTGGAAGTGTGGCTGTCTCTTGGAGGTTTTCATGAACGAGGGCATGACTGGGAGTCTGACAGACGGATCTACAACAGTCACATCATCATCAATGATAAAGGTAATCTCTCTTTGCATTCTTTTCACTGCTACTACACACACAGACACACTTTTCAAGACCCACAGTCCATGTTTTCTACTTGATGATTTCTTTCTGTGCGCTCAGATACGCTCTCACACTGACACACTGTCATTATATTCACAGGTGACATCATTTCTGTCTACAGGAAGTCCCATTTGTTTGATGTGGAACTGCCAGAAAAAGGCGTATCACTTAAAGAAAGTGCCTTCACCATCCCTGGACCCTCCCTCACGTCCCCGGTTCAAACTCCCATCGGCAAGGTGTCATCTTATGAAATAATAATTTTTATTTATTAAACCTTTAAACCAGGAAAGGCTCATTGAGATTAAGCATCTCTTTTCCAAGAGAGTCCTGGACCACCTATACACTTACACAGAAAAGAGTTTAGGAATATTTTTCAGCTTGGAACCCAGAACCCAGAATGCTAAATATCCCTGAAATAGGCATGCAAACGGTTGAAGTATTCCCAAACTGTCCAGGTTTTCTTGACGGGGCTGGGGCGATATGGCAAAAATGTTATCACAATACATTTTTGTATCTCATTGGATATCAATAATTATCACAATAAATGTCAAATCATTATTTCTTTCAAGTTTAAAGGCAGGCTTGCTAAATATTTCAGGGACCAGACTGTTAATTGTGGTTTTAAACTTTTCTTTATGGTCAGAACAAACACTTGATGCCAAACAGTGGATTACATAACAAATCTGAGTCAGAACATTCAGTACAATTAAGTAAAATATTTTTTCAGTCGATTTTCTTCAACAAAATACATTTCTCAATAGAAAAATTAAGTGCAAATTGGTTTGTGATTCATCAAAACATTTGTAATATTGTTATTGAGGGTAAACTATATCACAATGATTCTCATTATTGTTTTATTTCCCAGCCCTAGTTCACATGTACTGTATTTATTTTACTGTAAGTTTACTGGAAAGAAACGCATATTTTTAATCAGGACTGGTACGTGTTGTCTGTACGGTACAGTAGGAGATTTATAAATTTAGAGAAACAAAAAGGCACATTTGGCCTTCCCAACTACAGTCTGTTTGTGTTCTGTGTCTTGACCATCTTTATGTTGTTGCCACAGGTTGGCTTGGGCATCTGCTATGATCTGAGATTCCCCGAGTTATCTGCCGCTCTGCAAAGGCATGGGGCCGAGATTCTGACGTATCCATCAGCCTTCACTGTAGCGACAGGAGCTGCTCACTGGGAGGTGAGATGAGTCATGATAAGACGACAGCCTGTTTGATTTCTCAGGCTAGGGATGAAAGGATAAACGTACTTGATTTTTTCCCAGGTTTTACTCCGCGCACGGGCAATCGAGACTCAGTGTTTCGTCCTGGCGGCGGCGCAGGTCGGCCGGCACCATGAGAAGCGCTCGTCATACGGCCACGCCTTAGCGGTGGACCCGTGGGGTGAGGTGCTTGGCGACTGCGGAGGGGAGAAGCCAGGCATGGTGCTGGTGGAGATCGACCTGGAGAAAGTGAGAAGCACCAGGAGGAACATGCCGGTCCGACAGCACCGCAGAGACGCTGGTTTCTATTGCAGTCTGGAGACGACTTGACTGCAAGAGAAGTTCACAGGCAACAAACTAAACAGGAAACAAGCTTTAGTTTACTGTGTGAGAAAAGAATCATTCTGTCTTCTCAAATGAAACTTTTAATGAACTGCATCTCATGAGACGACCCAATGAGTCTGTAAATGATTATTACTCGTACTGGTCAATAGATGGTACTGTTTGGTCAAAATAATATAGGGAACATGATGAAATGCAACAAGGGCTGGCTCTCATGTGCAGTGATCTGTGCTACTGAATGCATATGTACAAATTCATCTGTGATTAAATTAAATACTGTTGTGCTTAAACATTATAAACTCATACATTTCCTCCACTCAGTTTGTTTCCAAGTCAAATAAACAGTTGAATGTTCTTCTTTTGCTTGATGGTAACACGCCACTGTGATATAAAATAGGCTAATCAATGAAAGGGTGAAGAAATATTTAATCTCCACTGGGGCCCAAAAACTAGTCTTCTCTATTGAATGAACTGTTGTTTATGCTGTAGGATTAGGTAATATATGTGTGCCAACTAGTGTACAAACCCTTAAATCAAATTTAATTTTCATTTAGGCCTTTTTATCATTTAAGTTTCGTTTTATGCTCCAATATGTGGAATTATCAATTAGTAACAATTTTTGTCACCATCAATTAACCCGTCACTTAATTTTCCAATTAACTGATTAATCTTATTGGCTATAAAGCGTCACGTGTCAGGTTTTTCAGAGCCCAAGATGAGAGCTTCAGATTTCTTTAGAGTGTATTCTTAACCTCTGGAAGCAGTAGTTTGGCAAAAGTAAATGTATCTATGCTCAAGGTGCATGAACGTAGCTTTTTTCTACAACTTTCAACCACATCTCTGGTCTGACTTGTCTGTAACAGACGGGTGGAGTGGTCTTCCTCAGAATCTGATATCTCCTTTTGTGCAACCAACAGTGGTGTAAGAAGTACTCAAATATTTTACTTCAGTAAAAGTAGTAATACTGCAGTGTAGAAATACTCAATACAAGTAAAAGTTACTTAAGTAAAAGTACAAATGTATTTACATCAAAATACACTTCAAAAAACGAAAAGACCTCCAGAATTATCTATTTTAGAACAATGTATATTATATTACTGGGTGATAATTATTGATGGTTTGTTGCGTGTACCTATCACTTTAATGTTGCAGCTGGTAAAAGTGGAGGTAATTTTATTTACTTTAAATACTCATGGGTAGCTTAACCTATGATAATATATCATTATTCATTAGTTGATTAAATGTTGTATTAATTATCAGAATATGCAGTTACTAGTAATTAAATTCATGAAATAAATATAGTGGAGTAGAAAATAAATTTTTTTCTCTTT